GGGGGGGGACAATAAACACAATTGGCCACATTTTACATGTGTCAGATCAATGTCTTCATTCAACAATAGCTGCATGTGTGTTTGTGTGTGTGCATAATAACATGCTTAACTCTGTTAAGTCTCCGTTGTTGGTTAGTGTGTCTAACCTGTCTTGTTTCATGTCTGTGTGGTTCATGTTGTCGTGTTGTGTCATGTCTGCATCCTGTCATGTTTCCTATTTATTTTGAAAGTCTTGTTTCCATATTCTATGTGCTTAGTTTACACTTCCCTGTGGCGTCATTATGTTCATTCTAGTCAGCTGTTTCCTCACGTGTTTTTACTTCCCTGATCACCTCCTTTAGTCTTTGTGTTTCCTTTCAGTCTTTGTCAGATCATTTGTGTTACCACCCGTCTCGTCGAGGTTTTCTCGCGTTTTTTTCCCCTGTTAATCTGCACCACACTGCAGCACAAAACCCTTGCCCCCTCCACCACCATTATTACCATGACCACCAAAACATAACTGTTTTAGGGCCCCCGCTAATGGGTCAACAAGTGACTTCTTCAATATTATCACTATTTTGCATTGTTCCATATTTGTTTGATAGCTTTTCAACAGTAACACTGATATAGCTTTTAACTTACTGTATTTTCCAACAGAATACAAATGACAAGCAAAGTTCTCTGGATCCAGATACATTGGAAAATGAGGGGGGGAAAGAGCAGGGAAAGATTTACCTTTAACTATCAGTAAACCAGAAACCTTTGATTCTGAGTTTAGACATATGTGGGAAAACATGGCAGCAACATCTTTAAAAAAGATGCCCACTGTGAAGCACTGTTCATATTTAAGCCAGGAAATAAGGAACAGCCAGCAGCAGAGGAAGGTTTTGGCCAGGCCATTGGCATCTGTCATCAGGTTCTCCATGTCTGGCCAGAGAAATGTCAACCACTGTTTTGAGCGGCTCTCATGAGGACATCAAGGCTGTGAAAAAAGAAAACCTTTGTCCCAATTTCCCACAAACTAGTGGTGCAAGCTTCAAAGGATGTCATCCAGTGAAGACAATTTGGAGACAAACTTACCAGCAAGCTGAACTCCAGCCTTCCGGTCTTGGTTAATGTAAGTAATTCAGTGATAATCCAGACTCAGGCTGGGAATAGCATCCATCCATCCATCCATCCATCCATCTACCTTCCACTTAACCAAAGACAAAAACTATTATGAACTACATAATATTGTTCACAGTTTGTGAACAAACTATCTTTTTGTTTATATAATGATGATGAGTTTCTATTGTCTTTGGATTTACAGGAAAGCTTTAGAACAAATGGTCAAAACATGATATAATTGTAAAAGCATAGGTGCTATTATTAAGGAAGCACATTCATGTACCCTTTGCTAAAGTGGTTCTGTGTGTGTTATCATATGTGTTGCCAGAAAGATTCCTGCACCTTTAAACATCTTTTTCTAGAGCTTTTTGCCAGTCTTACTGTGTAGTTCTATACTCAACTTTCCCAAAGAGGCTCCAGTGTGTGGGAGAGCAGGATGAGTAATGTGTCTGTGTACCTAACCTGCTGTAGGGCATTCAAAAACCTGCCAGTAAATCTCTGTTCAACACTTTCTCCCACACACACACCTGACCTTCAGATTTCACAGGGTTGACACAGTGTTTCCTGCAGTTCAGCTTTTACAGATATTTCTTACTTTTTTTCAATAAAATGCGCTATGCTTTATTGTTCCTGTGCAAAACCTGTCTCTTATTCACAGCAGTGAGCTATCATGACAGCAGGACTCCATACCACTCTAAAACAGAGCGACAGTATATATTTTCATATATAATGTTAGCAAAATAAATAATAGTATTTATAACATTCAAACCTACTGCCATATTTTTATTCTATACTCTTTTACAAAACATTTATCTGGCCTTTTCATCAGGTGAGAAAAAGGTTTGGGTGATATTGGACCGATCGGTTGATGGAGTGAGTTGTCTACCAATTGGAAGGTCAGTGATTTGAGCCCTGAGTTGTCTACCAAGGCATCCTCAGATAAAATACTGAATCCTGATTTACCCCTGAAGCATCAATCACAGCATGACTGTGTGTGTGTTAGAAAGTGCTTAGGCTAAGATAAAAGGGGCGTGTGTGTGTGTGTGTATGTGTGTGTGTGTGTGTGTGTGTGTTTGTGTGTGTGTGTGTTTGGGTGAATGTTGAGGAAACCACTTTGCATGCTTAACTGTGTAGAAAGGCTCTATGAAAGTACCAGTCCATTTACCAGAGTTGAATTGCTTATAATAGGGAAAACACGAGTGTTACTAACAGAGATGGGCAGTAACGCTACTGTAATCCCTACTGTAATCCAATTACTTTTTTCAAGTAACGAGCAAAGTAAGGGATTACTATTGCAAAAAAGGTAATTAGATTACTGTTACTTTCCCGTGATCACGCTGCGTTATTGCGTTACTAAAACCTGATTAGTTTTTTCAAGTAACTTGACAACACTGGTTACTAATAACATTACCAGTGACCTTATTCTATCTTCCAGTAAGCCACTGTGAAGGTGAATCACACCTCATTTGTATTCCCTGGCTCTTTTTTTTTTTACTTATTTTTGATTATTATTGTTGATTTGCTTCGATTCACCAAGAAAAAAGGCTGCAGAGGATGGTGAAGTGCAGGGACACCCGTCAGGTGAGTGCCTGGAGGTAGCAGGGGAGCGTTCTGATCAGTGGCAGGTAGACTTGAGAGTTCTGCTCACCCAGGGTAAGTACTGACCCAACTGACAAATGAGATAAGACTAGTATTTAAAAAAAATAAATCACAGCCGATGTTCTTCTTTCTATTAGTAGTTTGGGACTGAAGTAAGGGATTGAAGAGGATGTTTGGGGACACTGGATGTTTTAATATTTTAAACAGACTTTTAGTGTTTTTAAGGATTTGTGCAGATTGTGTCTACTAGAATTTTATTTTTATAGTTATATTTTAATTTCTGTTGCCCCCTGGCCATGACTGTTTTTATTCCTTGTTTTATTATAAATAAACAACATTGTAATATGGAAAACTAGGGTGACACTAGGGGGGGGGCAAGAGATTATTTTAGGGTGGCACATGCCATCATATGCCCCTACAGTAGATGCAGCAGATGCAGTAGATGTGCCCCTGTGTTGGCTAATAAGAGTTAAAGCTGTGTCCCTCCAGCAGATCCAATCTGGCACGTTTCCATCTGCCGGAGGGACACAGTGGGCTCTGCTGTGATTGGAGGTCAGGGTACTTGCAGCAGGTTTGATCCAATCCGGCGTCAGTTTTTCTAGAGCCAGAAGTGACGTCTTTTCCGCTCCTAGAACTTCCGCCTTGCACGTGTGTTTACAAGGAATGTGGCACCTTTAGGTTAAGAAAGGCTTGAAGAGCTAGCTCAGTGTAACCGTGTGTGTGTCGGCTAAAATATGGGAAAGTTAAATGTTGTGATATTGAGATATTTATCCCGAGATGACTTCCGAGTCCTTACTGCGGTAAGTACAAAGCTAACTGTTAATTCGGTCCCAGTTGGTTAGCCTGTGCTAAGCCAGCGCTTGGTCAGCTGGTTATTGCTCATTAATGAACTTTTACACATGCCACTGTTACAGCAGCCTGCTAGATGTTAATGTAGTTGTAATGAAGGCGAGCACACATACACAGGCATTCATAGTTCGTGTCAGGTAAACGGAACATCGTTACAGTGTACTCCTGTGGTTTAGTGACTGATGGTGGATTCACAAGACGCATATTTAAAACAATTAATTTCAAAATATGAGTGTCAGTGGAAGAAATATTCTGAGTTTGGGATCTGTCATTAGTAACAAACAAACCACTGGCGACATTGGTTGCCAAGCATACGTACTTGTCCTGTGCACAGTAGCTCTGAAGAGTCGCTTCATCTGCATATGTATTAATCCTTGCTTTATCTACCTCATATCTGTAATGCGAAATTGCTGCTGCAGCACTTCAGTTACCCTATAGGGATTTGTCTGTCATTGAGGCTAATATGTTCCTTGTGATATGTGTTAGACCATTAAAGCAGCTTTCTTCTATAATTAGTGTTTGTTTTCAGTCTTTTAGGCACAAAATTAGGGTCCTGGGTTTTGCTGCATGCCCTCCTTCATTGATCTATGGATCATCGTGACCTATGACGTCTGCAGATGATATTATGAACTCTGTAGTAAAAGTAGGGAGCAGGTGGAAGAGAGTCTGGAGAGGGAGAGGTAGAGGTATAGGACAAGGACAAGGAATGAATGTGAGTAGAAGCAAAATGGTGGGAACAGCTCTCCAGGTTAAGGGAAAGTGGAGGTTTACAGTAAGACCTGATATAATGTATGATTTGGAGATAGTGGCACTAAAAACAGACAGGAAGCTGAGCTGGAGATGGCATACCTGAATATACTAAGATTGTTGTTGGGAGTGACCAGGAAGGACAGGATTAGAAATAAGTACATCAAAGTGACAGCTCAGGCTGAGCAGTTTGGAGACCAAGGTGGTGAGGCAAACTTGATACATGTGCAGAGGGCTAATAGATATATTGAGCGAAGGATGTTGAATATGGAGTGGCCAGCCAGGAGGTAAAGAAGATGACCACAGAGTATGGATCTAGTGAAGAAGGACAAGCAAAGATTGTGTGTCAATCGAGGATGCTAGGAATAGGGTGAGATGGAGGTATATGATCTGTTGTGGTGACCCCTGAAGGAAGTAACTGGAAGAAGAATTTAACATGCAAATTTTAAGGACATAGACAGAAAGAATGAGCAAAGGCTGTTTTTCCTGAAAGATACATTACAACGCAGATAAGCTTGTAATTTAATCTGTCAGCTCACTGGTGATGATAATTTTGATGACAATGATGATAATTTTTCACGCAGGTTGAGATGGGGATGAAAAACCATGAGATTGTTCCAGTAAGTCTTCTGTCTTCCATTGCAAGCCTCAAGCACGGTGGCTGCAACAAGATCCTCAGAGAGCTTGTGAAACACAAGCTCGTGGTCTATGAGCGCACCAAGAGTAAGAAAACTTACAAAAACACTAGCTTTGTCTCAGAAGTTATGATGTAAGTGATTAGCTTTCTAACATGATGGCGTGTGTTGATCTCAGCTGTCCAGGGTTACAAGTTGAATTATGGAGGATATGACTACTTGGCCTTAAAGACTTTGTGCGCCAGAGAAATAATCATTTCTGTTGGCAACCAAATGGGTGTTGGCAAAGAGTCGGGTAAGTGTTTTGTTTTTTAAATTTATAATCATAATGTGTTTTCTTTCAGGTTTTCAGGCTTTTACC